GTGGGATAGACTTACCTCCACGTGGTGCACCCTGGGCAACGTATACTCATACGGCAAAAAGTCTGTTAACCGGCATTTGACTTCTGACTTCAAACTACCATCACCCCCACTGTATGCCATATTCGTCCCCTTCCACAGTACTCACCTCACCTTTTTCTCTACCTTTGTGTCTGTCTGCCTCTTTTACATCTGTGAATCGCTCTTCTGTTCCCCACCCCTCGACTTTCTGCTACTTTGATGAACCTTCCCTCTGTGAAGCCCGAAGTCAGCTAAATGGCTAATGATATCTATCACAACGCCTGCCATTTGAAATAAGTATTTTTGCACGATGGAAATCCTCAGAAGAAGTTGAAGTAAAACATTGGATAAGGACAATACTAGGTCGCGTGACAACTATATGTACCACTAAAAACTTTCTGCTCCAAATATCTATCGTTTTCATCCCATTCATCTTTCATATCAATGCGACTTTTTAAGGAAATTTTTTTACCTCGCCAAGTTTTGACAATAGAATTATTCGCGGTCACATCTTCTAAATATTCATTAAATATTGTAGTAACCCACGAAACTGAGTGAATGTTCAGTTGGGAGGGTTGGTTGCTATTAGCATCTTGCTTTGAGGCAGTTTGCACTAGTTAAGTACAGTTCGGTATCTCGTGTTACGAAGATAGATGTAAACTATGTACTTATGGCAAACTGCAAATGTAAGGCTTATTTAACATTATCTACAGTGCTTAAGCAAAAGTCTAAATAAGCAAACAGGCCAATGAAATCTAGACACCAAATTCATCAATCCGGATATTCAAATATAAATCTAGACTAAACTCAAGAATAAAAGAATATGTGATCTGAATCGATAGATCTCATTTTAATGCCTGATTGGAACATGTATCGGGTTGCTTCAATAATAAGTCTTGAATTATTCTCTATAACAAGATCTCCAAGCTTGAAAGGGCTCCCAGGATTGGATAAACCACTGAAAAGATTTAGAGGAAAGAGACTTATTACATGGAACACGTGTCTGCCACAGAGCCTCGTCACTATAATACAATGAAGGGTTTATTAAACAATGCAGGGATTATTGATTGGTGACTGGCTTGAAGGTCACTCAGCTCACGACCTCACCTGCTCCCTGTACGACAAGTAGCACGGCCGCACCTTTGAGTCTGTCTGAGTGGGCATGAGACTTTCTTGTTCCGACATGACAATGTTGTGCGCATCACAAGTATGATGAAAAATGCAATGCTTGTTTGCTTCGCCATGAGTGATAAATCAATACTATCCTCATACGAATAAAATTTCCGTATTACCCTTTAAACTGGCTTGGAAAATTCAAAGTTTCGACTTCTCAGATAATATTTAATAAGAGAAAGGACGGAGACTTAACCTGACTCAGTAGATGATAGGCCAGCAACTGACCCTAGTTAGTGATAGGAAACACCAATCGAGTACTGTTTAGTACTTCGCCTGGAGATGGCAGATCTGAAACACATGCTTGCACACCCAAAAGTAGCAAATTATACTAGAAACCATCTCAGCTACAAGTCCCACAATACTCTACTTAAAAGATATTCAAAGACAAGACAAACATAATACCGTAATCCGATGTATTTTGTACACATAAGTTGCACGTAAATGCACATACACACCGAACTGAACATTCACGAAAAAACAACTCACATAAGCAGGTTGGAAGGGGATCAAATTTGCCCATCTTATGAGGCAGAAGCAGTCGTATCAGTATCAGGTGGAGCAACTGCGGTACCAGGTATTGCTGAAATACCAGGAGCAACCGTCACGCCCTCTTCTGGTTTCATAGTTGGAAAGAAAATAACCTCCCTTATGTTGTTTGTGTTCGTTAGAAACATAACCAGTCGATCAATACCTAGACCCCATCCAGCAGTTGGGGGAAGACCGTAAGAGAGAGCTTGGATGAAACCTTCATCAATAGCCATGGCCTCTTCATCTCCAGCAGCCTTATCTCTAGCCTGTTCCTCAAATCGTTGCTTTTGAACTTCGGGATCATTCAACTCGGTGTAGGCATTGACCAACTCCTTGGTGAGACAGAACATCTCAAAACGTTCAGTGAGACCAGGGCGAGAACGATGCCATTTAGCAAGAGGGCTCATAACTTCAGGATGATTCATAATGAAAGTTGGATTAATACAAGTAGGCTCAATTCGTTCACCAACAAGTTTATCAAGAAGTCTTGCAGCAGTCTTGGGCTCACCACACTGTACGTTGAATTTGTCAGCAATCTCGACCAGTTTTAATCGAGCCTCCTCAGTATGAAGTTCTGTGGGATCAGGAAACTCTACACCGGGATAGTGCTCTTTTAATCCTTCGTATAAATCGATTTGCTTGAAAGGAGGTGTGAAATCAACCTCAACTGGTTCCATATCAGGTTCTGGCTGATAGGTGAACTTGTAAGAACCGAACAGCATTTTCACCATACCTGTTAAAACATAGATAGCATTATTAGGTCAAGTTATCACGATATATAAGCTACATAAGAAGGCATCCTTACCGGAAAGCAATTCTTCAGTCATATGAATGAGATCATTGTAATCTGCATAGGCCATGTAGAACTCACAGGAGGTAAACTCAGGATTGTGAGTAAGATCTATACCCTCATTGCGGAAGAGCTTTCCCTTTTCATAAACACGATTGATACCACCAACTACTAGCTGTTTAAGGTAAAGCTCTGGTGCGATACGAAGATAGAGATCCATTTTCAAATCGTTATGATAAGTAATAAAAGGTTTGGCTGCTGCACCACCAGGTAAAACAGTCAAAATCGGAGTCTCAACCTAGATAATACAAAACGAAAAATTAATCATATAAATGTAAAAAAGGTAAAATAAAGCAAGATTATAACTTACACCTAAGAAACCTTGTGAATCCAAATAGCTCTCAAGATATTTGCAAATCTTGAATCGATTATAGAAACGATCCATAACATCTTTATTCATAATTAGATCTAAGTGGCGCTGTCTATAGCGAGTTTCCTTGTCTTTAAGTCCAAAATGACTGTGGGGCAATTGCTGCAAGCAGGGCGCAAGAAGAACGATCCTCATTGGCAGAATGGAAAGTTCTCCGAGCTTTGATTTGCATGGCTTCCCAACAATACCAACAATATCGCCACGATGGATAATTTTTCCCATTTCATAAAATTCTTTCTCATCATGATATTCTTTAAGAGTAAACATGACTTGAACTTTGGCCATATCGGAAAACAAATCGTAGAAAATGAGTTTAGAACCAGAAGATCGTTTCGAATAAAGTCGACCAGCAATGCTAACTTCGACATCATTAAGATGTTGACCATTCTCCAGATGATCATATTTCTTTCTGAATTCCGGAACGCTGATTGAAGCCGAGAATTTGTGCGGATAGGGGTTAATTGCACCGTCCTCCTTCAATTTGCGAATGGAGGCCAGACGCATTTCATAGTATTGTTGATCGTCAAGCTCTTCCTCTTTCGCATTACCAGTTCCGTGGTTATGAACAACTTGCTTCATTGCCGATTCGGCCTTTTTCTTCTCACGTTCAGCAGCTTTTAGTTTTTTCTTTAGAGCGCTAAAATAAATAAGCGAACGGTAACATCTTAGCTTATATAAATTTAAAACGAATAATAACAATATGAGAAGAAAAATTAGGTCAGAACGATTAGGTAAGAACACATACTTTTTACTTAATTCCTCCGTCATTATACGCGCACACACGGGAGAATTCAGAAATCGAATAACACGAAGATATTTATACATGCCTAATTTATTACAATGACTAAAACAAACAACTAAAATGAAATTAAGTTCTAACCCTTAATAAATTCTTAATACTTTTCTCTTTATGGCTAAATAAGTGCAATACATTTCTGTTTTTCAAAAATAAAGTATTAAGGTTTTGGCGGTATTTATTTGGACCCTTTGGAATTAGATTCATGAAAAATAGTCAATTTAGAGTTATTTACAGTCAAATCTTTATAAGAATATTCTAGATATAAAAAATTAGACTTTAAAATCTTGTTTCTCAAGTAAATACAAAGGTATGAAGATATCTGTGCATATATTTATAAGAATATTTATTCGAAATTTTTATTAAAACCAATCAAGTCAAATAAATGCTTAAAAAGGAAATGTTGACAATTCATTATATTTTATGCAGAAATCCGATGTTAAATTGTTTCCGTTTTGTTCAAACTTAATAAGTTCTGCTGAATGATGCTTATTTAATTGTGATTGATTTTTGATTGTTGCACATTTCAAGAATAGTAGACGTCAATTTCTATTTGCTAAATAAAAGCTCCATTTCACCACTCAATTTCATGATTGATGATGCAATAATTGAGATAATGAATAAAAAGCAATTTAAATGTACAAAAGATATATAAGTTACAATTGTTTTGATTGTGCTTTTAACTGCTTTTATCATTTATTACGATAACAAAACTTCCGAATTCAGATTCCAATCCATTTAATCAAATATAAATTAAAATGACACTGCTTGAATTTCGCCACTGTATCCTTTCTTTGAAGGTTCGGACTGAGAAATTCGTTTGACTTATGCTCCTGACTACTTTGTGCAAGTTTCATTATTGTAAACTTGACTGTATTCAAATAGTGCAGAAATGTTGACATTTTGGAATCAGTTGTAATCACCTTAGAATCATTCACTCGTTACTTTATATTTTACAATGTTGGTTGCGCGAATGTCTTACTTCCACGTGGTGCTCCCTGCATAACGTATCTTCCTAAGGAAAAAGTCTATCACTCTGCATTTTGGCTTATATTTATTATGATTAGCTTGAAACAAGGCTATAAGAGAAATCGCAATCGTCAGGGGGAATCAAAACGTTTACAGATCCTCCAGTGGAATGTTGGAGGGATGTCACAGGACAAAAAGATTCAAGTCCAGAAAATCCTACAAACCCATGATGTAGACATTT